AATAAACCATTTTCTCTTGTGTGTTCTTAATAATAAGCATTAATGTATATATAGTTTGCCCATCACTTCTTCTCATTATGTGCCTGAGGACGACGGGGGAAACACGTCGAAACGTTGCATAAAACTTTAACCAGTGATTGTTGTTCCATAAAGCTGTGTCTATATATATCATTGGCAGTTTTTGCGATAGTGATGTCATAAAATGCTTACTATTTATGGAATAGCAAGAATCACAGAAATCTGACTGAAAATTCAACTGGTGCAAAAAACTTTTTGAAAAAAATTAAAATATAATCAAAGCGGATTTATCGACAGTAAAAGTAATGTAAGACATCAATTTCTTACAAAAAAGAGCTCGAAATTTACCAAGAGGCAATAAAACCACCTCTGGTGGACAGCTTCCACGTGGGTTAAATCGTCTTTAATAGAAGACGTCTGTAATGTTCCAATTGGCACCACACAGCGAGTTGAGTACCAACCAGAATCCCATCAATCAACCATCTTAATTAGAATATGGCGGCAATGTGCACGTGAAGTATTTCCTGTATGAAAATAAAACGATATTTATGATTGGTTCATTTATAAATTACGAGGTAAAGGCTAGAGTTACTGTTCTTGATGACTTCGACAAATATGTTGTTGATTATCATCTGGCCATGTGCGTGCACAATTTTTTACGATTTACCTAAAAAAAATCAGAATAAGATAACATTCTTAATTAAGAGCACAACAGTATAAACTATTTACAAATAAAGATGATATGCCTGCGACTACATGTTTCCGCACTGAGATCACCAAAATCTGGTTCTGTAATGCAATTCACTTCTCTTTGCGGAAACTGCCGAATGAAGGGCGGGATTGTTGGCTGTCCATATTTGTTTTAAAGTGTGGAATTTGTGACGACATTAAACCTTAACGTCAAAGAGAAATAAAAGTGGCCTTCAAAAATATTTCGAAAACTGTTAATGTCATAAAATTTTGGAGACAAACACGTTCTTGTCTTGGTAAATTTTCAGAAAATTGAAAGATCGTTATTCCAGTTAAAATATCAAACTATAGTACGTGTGTAAATAGGAAGAAATATTTATTTAACCGTTCGCAATAATTGGCATGTTGATATGCTGAAGTTGAAAGTTCCAGTTGAAAGAAGTTTATTTTATTTATTCAGGCTAGCTTTAATTACTGGCATGTCTAATTATCAAACTGATACAATAATAATATTACGGAAAGTTTTACGACTTTTACAGGCCCTCTTATTATGCCTGCGGACATCGGAGGAATTACTTTGAAACTTTCCAAAAATTGTGTGATTCGTGTAACGTCTCATAGACTTTTTCAGTTTTTAAATTTCAAAAAATTATATTTACATAAGTAATAAAATTATTTTTAAAAATTTAGAATATTTTTGTTGTAAGTTTTAAATTCTAACTTGTAATAGTCTGTAATATTTTGACTAATTTTTTTCTTATACATAATTCTGTAAAACTGTAATATCAGCCTTTGAATAAATTATTATGATTTTTATAGAATTGATCGTATATATTATGGGATATATTTTGATTTAGAATATGCTTTTGCTATTCACATACGTATTATGCAAATATGACAACCGTTCATCGAGAATCCAAAAGTGTTGAAGCCTCCTACCACTTCAAGGTTATTAATTCTGCATAATTTCCGTCAATGATCTATTTTCTATGTATCGTTTGGATGGAGTCGATTGAGCGCTACACACGCTGAACAAATCAAGCTTAATATCAGCCCCATAAATACACAAAACCCGATATTAGTTACAATAAAACTTGTATCAACTTTCGTTTTAGCGGTCCCATGTGTTTAATCGTTTCATAAACCCCTTTTCATCAAACAAATACACTTCTTAAATCATTCCATTGATCTGAATAATAACATCAAGAGTTATCGTTCCTTGTTAATTACCAGGCTAATGTCGTCTGTTTATTTATTCAAGGGCGATAACTCCTTAAATTACCCCTACAAACTTCTGGTAATGTTAATACAGTATGCTTTTCTCATTAAATAACAAATGTCATGTTATAAATATAAACATGGCTTTGAGAAAAGTTGAAAATTCCAAAACATTTTCATCGTCTTTGAAACAAAGTCGTATTCATTTCGGTCTTTATTAATAGCCTACTTTCGATTTTTTGAGAGAATTTTTTACTGTTTTTAGCGATTTTTGCTGACTTTAAAAGTGCAATCTACTTAAGATTACGTCTAAATTGTACGATGAAGACTAAAAAAAATCAGAAAACAAAAGATACGAAATTGTAATTTAATTTTGATTAGTGTAAAAAGTATCACATTTTATAGAGGTGATTTCTTTCTTGTTTTAAATGACCCGAGTGGATTAAAAAATGTAAGGAGTTTCTCATTATATTGAAAATGTTTTAGACTCCAATAAAACTTCAGCAGAATTACATCAATCGATATTGAAATTATGGGGTCGACTCTTGGAAGCAGTCGTACAATCTTCAGAATTTGTCTAACCTTAAGAATGATTCAAACACCCAGCAGAATGATTCAAACCCAACTTGCTACCGACAGAGGGGGGGAGGGAGGGGGGTGTGAGTCAGGGAGGTCTCATATCACCATACATGTTCCTAACTGCAGTAAAAATTACGGCAATTGAGGTTTTTATGTGTTTGAATAATTGAATTGTTGTCATTAAACCACGTGAGAATGTTCAAATTATTTGAATGTTACTCGAATTTTCGAACTTCAACACGTGCAATTGTCGTTTGAATTGTTGAAATTACTTCGGCAGAAATCGGCACTTTGAATTGAATGTTTTAGAGAAATCTCATGCATATAAAAGTACGTGCACAGCTTTTCAATCTATACAATTTAGAAGATTAATCTAATTTCGCGAGAATTCGGTAATTGTGTAAATGTATATGTTAAAACGACAATTTCTGTGTGGGATTTTTTTTGCCTGTCATTTCTTATCAGGTTAATGTGTGGTGGAATCATTTGTCCTTTTCACGTAGGTATATAGTAAGTGTAATATCCCATCGTTTCTTTCGTATGCATGATATGTCGATCCTTTATTTTCCCGCCAGGTGTTCATTGGCACACAATAACAATGGGTCCTTTCCTTCCATTTGTTCACCATCATACAATATCGATCCTCCGCTTCTGCTTTTTATTTTAAAGCATATATTTTCTCCCCCTTTTCCCGCCATTTGTTCCAAAAGCATGCAATATCATGGTTATGTATTTTTATAAGCATACAATATCGATTACCCGTTTCTCGCTATTTATGTACCGTCTGTTTCCCCACAATTTTTCTTTATAAGCATGAAATGTCATGCAAAACTTCCCTGCCATGCATTTGTTCCAAAAACATGCAATATCAATCGTCTGCTACAAATCGACGTGTGTGTTTTCAGTGTAAAAAGATCTGTACATCTAATCTTGTTGTAGGAACAAGGTGTATCAACATTATAAATTCTTTATCATTCTCGACTATAAACTTATCAACATTGTGTCGCTTTTCTCGTCTTATTTACATAAAATATACTTATCATACAATATCATGACGAACTACATGTTTCATGCTTCTATCAGATACTACAAACATGCAGTGGCGGAGCCAAAGGGGGGCAGAGGGTGCAGCCGCCCCCCTCGCAACCCCGAAAGCGGGCAAAAATCCCATAACTGGGTTAGAAATTCGGGCAATCTCAGATATTTCACCCCCTCACGGACGCAAACCTGACTCCGCCACTGCAAACATGTATATATACAGCATAAAATACAGAACAGCATTGAATATGGATATTAGTATGCCAAATAAACATTAAGTACTATGACGACTCTCTGAAACGCTGTGTACGATGTACCTGGAGTAAGTAAAAAATAATTAACCATCCAAAAAAATATTGCAGTTATACAATTACATTTGATGTTCAGTTCGGTCGAGCAAGATATTGTCCACATTGAATATTCGTATCACATTTGTTGGTAACTATATTTTTTGGTTATTGCTCTCTGTTTGTTTTGTGATAGGCTATAAATATAAACCGTTACCTCGACGGCAACTTTCATCCCACCATTCCAAAATGGATATGAAAAACAATAACACAATTTTTTTTAGAAATCTACATAAGTTTTATTTTTCAATCATAAACAACAAATATTATTCTTTTAATTTATCTTTTTTAAATCTAAATTACATTTTCGTCAAGAACACATAAATAAATCTTTCATCGACTAGTATACACTCATCACTCTAAACAAAACATAGATTGTAATTCCATATTGGATATTATTACAGTCATAATTCATATTCATATGTATTTGAAAATATTCGCTTCATGTTTTGAATTTCGTTTTTTAGTTAACCGATGCACCGTACATATCCACTAATCTAAACAAGAAATTTTGTTTAATGATACAAAAGTTCAATATGTTACATCTTAATCTAAATTGAGCAAAATTTCAGGCTTTTGGCAATTTATTAACAACATTACCGTCGATTTGAAGAAAAATAAACATTTCAAATGTGCTGAGTTAATAATGAGATGACAAATGAGAAAACAAAATGGCCGCCCTTAGAAACGACTAATTAATATGTAGTAATGATTTTCACCTCTTTTTGACGAGACATTATTTATTCGTGTGTGTTAATTACTGATTTAAACACACCGTTAGTCTGAAATGTTTATTTCACATTTGGCACACTTTCACAAATGAAGAGTTTTTCCAGGCGTTGAGTTGCACCGCAACCGCCGTTTGAATCGCACTAATTGTTTTGTACAATAATTAACATGTACCAGAACATTTTAACTTTTTCCCCTCGTCCATCAGTTTATTTGGCTAACGCACACTAGATTCGACGCCTGACTGCTTAGCTGTTAAATGCATTCGTACATCCTGTACAAGACGATTCTAATCTTTTCAATGTGTCCTACCTATAGGGCCTACATCCTAACCTGGCTGGTTAACACACTGGTGACCCTCCTTGTCCAATACCTTCAAACTCAACTTTGTAAATACATCGGTGACATTCCCGGTTTCATTCCATAATAGTTGGACATGTTGTAAGTCTGTCCTATAGTCCCCATATTATCGTGAGACGGCATGGGTGCGGGTTGCCCCGGCATGGGCTGTCGACTAAATGCTAAAATGTCCGTGACGGAATGCGAGGATGGCCAAGCCCGCATCATACATGGCGAAACACAGCTTGATACGGGCGGCTTGTAATTGACTGATAAACCGTGACCTTGACTCGGCATCTGAGGGGTTGGGAACGATCCGTGCATGCCCATTGCTGGTGGAGGGCATGAATACGGATAAAACTGATTGTAAATAGGTGTAGATGGGGGATGCATGGATGTAGATATCGTTTTCGAATCAAATTGTTCATTAGGACTTGCTCCTGGACTGCTACTTCCGCTATTACCACTTCCGCTTCCTAGTTTATTACGTAATATCCGGCTAATGGAACTGACAGAAGGCACGTTATATTTATCACAAACACCGTCAGCGAGAAGTTTATCTCGAATTTCCCAGGCGAAAATACCAGGATCTCTGTCTTTGTACACTTTGATATGTTTAACAACATTGGGGGTCGTAACTCGGGGCTTGCTTCCTCCTATAGCCCCGGGTAAGATCGACCCCGTTTCGTTGTATCGGGCTAGTATTTTACTGACGCATCCATGAGATACTCTGAGTTGTCGGCTGATATCACACGGTCTTACTCCGAGCTGGGCGAGCTCCACTATCCTGAGTCTTATTGCGTTGGGAAGCGGTCTTCCATTGACGAACACACCTCCGAGTTGGTTCACTTCCCCGTAAGACTGGTGTTCTGGAAAGATAAATGAATTCGATTTTAAGAATGCGAATATACATAATGCATGAATTATTATATACATAAAATTACAAAATATAGAGAAAAAAAAACATATCACTTCATCGGCGAATACAAATTCGTTACGAGATGTTACACCGATCTAAATTTAAAATATATAAAATGTGATGCAATGTTTTTAAATTAGATGCGGAGATATTGTATCGCTTAAACATACAATATTTTTAAAAATAAGATTAAATAAGTACCATGCACAATATATTTCAAAATATTTATAACGCTATTCTAACATATTTCTCATATATAATAATAATAATAATAACTTTATTGCAAATATTACGCCATTATAGCCAAAGCAATGATAAACAACACAATACAAATAATAATCAAACACAAACTAAACACAATTTAAACAAAACAAGAAAAGATATTCTGTAGTGACTAACGTATGATTTGTTTTAATTATTGTTATTGGTTACCCGTACTATTTGTTGGGTTTTGAACAAAAATGACCCAATATTTTTTAGTATTTTACTATCATTGGTAGTCGTTATATATTTAAATTTTTTTGCATCAGTTAATAATTGAAAAGAAGTAGGCCTATTTATGTTTTTGATGATAGATTATGTTAGTATGAGGTATATATCAATGATATATGAGAAACATTTATTCTTATCAATAATGTTTTTAATATAATACACACTAATTTATCAGATGCATCTTTTGAATATAAGATAAACAGCTTTGAGGAAAGAACATTGTTTTACAATAAGATACATTGTTTTAATATCAAGTTTTATGTTCAGATACATATCGTTATTACTCTTTTTTTCATATTACATTCATAAAAAGGTAGATTTCGGTTGATTTAATAAAAACAATTTTCCAACTGTACCCACTGACTTCAAAATCCAAAAATAATATATCAAGACACAATTTATAGATACTAGGCTGATTTAAATTCCAAGTTGTCATAAGTCGACACCTTGTGGTGAGTTTATCTTTATGTATGTAATATATGTATACAAGTGTAAACCCATTAACACTCAGGCCCTGTAACTCCTTAAAATTCACGTCGTTTTCCTATAAATTTACCGTCGGGGGCAACCTCCCTAGAGTGAGCGATTCACTTGTATTTTAGAAGCCGCAACACGAGAAGCCGCCTATCAGCGCCACATGAAAACAACGTGAGTTCGTCTAATTAACTGATTATATTAATTACCCAACAAGACAAATTTCTTCACGGGTGGGGAATTAGTTTCAAGACAGGTGGATATAGGCCTAGTTGAGGAATTATTATATGAAGAATTGTTCCCTCTGGAAGTCTTTAAATCCGGAAATTATGTCTTTTTGTAAATTGCCGCTTTCGTTTACAAAATATCACTTTGTATTTCAGAAATTTGCTTGAAATGTATAATATTTGAATAAAATGCATCTTTATTCTAAAAATTATAATTCTGTATCTTCAAAACGTTATTTAAAAAAATCACATATTTGAATAGATTGTATTAGTATTCAGATTTACGATACTACATTGAAATTTTTCTTTACATTTTCTTGAAATGTATCATTTTAATTAAATGTATCCTTATTTTCCAAATTATTGCCTGCAAATTGGTATTGTGTATGTTTACAAGGAAAAAAAAAGAAACCAAAAAACAGACTAGCATTCATAATTAATATTAACACATATTATTACTAGTTTCAATTGATGCGTAAAACAAAGTAATTTGTAGTAATGGCATAATTTCAAAACTAAGTCATATCAACGATTTCTTAGTTTCTTTATGAAATGAGGCTTGGCGTTTGTTATTATCATAGATTCTGAAAGTTAAAAAACAATATTACAGATATTTGTGCGAATTGTAAGGAATATTAATGATGGATTGGTGAAAATGAGAAACGTTCTGTCATATTTGATACATCAGCGCCAGTTTTTATGAGCATATTTTTGTAATCATATACCCGAAAGCTTGTAAATTTTAGCAGAAAATTTCAGAATATAAATACCAAAATTTTCACACACAAAATATGTTCGAAACTCGTAAAAATATCATTTGAAGTTTTTTTTTCTTTTGAAAAGCATCTGGAAAAAGAAGGAAGAAAAACAGATTGTTAGGGTATGAATCTGAGTAGATCTAGTTTTCAATGTCGATGATGGAAATGTTGTAAATTTCACCACCGTTCTTAATGACAAAAACTTTTTCTTCACTACCTCACAAATCTTTCGTCTGCTTTTCAAATTTCGTTTCATCACTCACTCTAAAAGTTTTCCCTTAACGACCTAAATATGTACGATATCCTCGAAGTGCAGACGTAAACCGCCAAAATGTTTGCGTTTCAGAAAAATGGCAGAAGTGGTGTGTTGAAAATTTTAATGGCATAATTGCAAAGACAGGGCATTAAATAGTTTCGTCCAGGTTTGGGGGATCTGTCGGCGATTACCAATTAGTCCTTTATTGACAAATTAACGGTTTGTTTGAAGGAATCGTTTCAGAATTCCGTAGCGATTACTTCTAGATGGTAATCGATTAGGCCTACAATTGCATATAAATATATGTAATATAGATGTTAATTTGATCCTATTGAGATAATGTTATAACTGAATTATTCCAATGAATGGAGATATCAAAATTCATAAAATTATTTCATTTAATAAATTTTATTTGTAAATAATATAGCCTAGTATTCATGCTTACGTTGCTTATTTCGATATCTTTCAAAGCACTCAAATTTGGGTGGTAAACAATCGAATAGGCCATAGTAATAGACTGTTAGCGACTGTTTATCGAATTTGTTTTTAAGAATAAAGATAACGGTATGAATATTTGCTGGTTTTCTAATTATTGTGATTCGGCAGAACAAATAAACATTGCCAAAAAATGACCGAAAATCATATCACAGAAAGAGTAGATTATTTCCTTCTTTTACGATAAAATCTAGAAAACTTTCTACCTGGGGTGAATAAGTGTAAAAATGTCTGAATAAGAAATATCTTCATCAATTTGGAATTTTTATTGAACGTTAGTCGCGTACATCAAGTGTAGAATTTCCAATGATAGAGAAATGTTACTGTTGATTATAGAGAGAGATAAAGAGAAGCTGTTTGACAGGTCTGACTGTTTATAAAACCAATATTACAATTGCTTCATGTAGAGTCGTCGAGTTCTTATCTGCAGCACAAACTCTTGGAGAATTCCAAGTATTGCAAGGAAATTGTGACGTCATCAATTACTTCCAGGCACCATTGTAATACGATTTGAATAACGTTACGGTTGAACGTACGGAAGAATGTGCGTTACGTTTCACTGATAAAATTCAGTTTCAAGTTTCACTTAGACTGGTATTATAGAATATCTAACGGGCTTTGTTTTCTGAACTATTGTTTATTTTGGATGCTGTTTGACATTCGACCGTTAAAGAAAATAAGCGTGTATTGGCATGATTAGCTATAGAATGACCAAAACTAACGAAACCTTCTCTGCCGAGAAAAGGCGTTTCACGCAATATTATGGAAATAATTCAATTTAATTTTTTAATGAATTCCACCAATAGAAGATTCCTACAGATCAGATTTTTCGGTAAATAATGTTCGCAGAAAAACTAAAGTACCTTCCGACACGGGAAAGATCATTCCTATAATTGGTTAAACTGCAGATTACCTTGTACAAAAACAATATTATTATGATAGAGTTTATTCAAATATTCTGATAATAAAAATAAAATTTAAATTTAATGTATCGATATACTAGAATGAAATGTATCATTATATTTGACTAAATATTTTATTATATTTGATCAAAAGAATCGTTAATTTTGACACAAATGTGTCTTTATTTGACTCAAATGTATCAATATTTGTAAATAAAATGAATCATTTTCTTTGAAAAATGTATCAATATAATTGAATGAAAATGTATCTTTGTATTTTAATCAAATCATTAAAGTTGACTCAAATGTATCATCATATTTGATTAAAAAGAATCGTTAGATTTGACTAATATGTATCAATATTTGACTAAAATATATTATTATTATTTTTGTAAAAAGTGAATCACTATATCTGACAAAGTGTATTTCGATATTTGAATAAAATGTATCAAAAAATATGTGAAAAGAAATGTATCGTTATGTGTAATTATCACATTCAAAATAAATTCGTTTTTATTTTTACAATAGTTTACTGGAAAACGTAGTTACCATTTTATTTTGTGAGATGATAGGTACACCTAGTAAACTGGAAGAGAGAGCATGTCTTGTTAGCAGCACCCGCCAAGGTATTTATCACAGTAGAGCTCAAATTCAATGGGGATTTTGGACTTGAATATTGTAGTTGTAATACATTGTATCAATGATATCGTGAATGTTTTATTTTGATTATAATGTATGTATTTAATTTTGATATTTGTTTTTGTGTCAAATTTGAATAGCTTCTCTCTTTTTTAAATGATAATAATAATGCATCGTTCTCAAGATGGTATATTCATTTTTATCGTAAAAAGTCAATTATTTGTTCGCCTCTGAAAAAGATGTAATAGAATAACGGTAATTATTCTGCGCTTGAAAAAAATATCAAGTTTAAAGAAACATGTAAATATAATTCGTATTTGCCAAATATTGTATATTATTTTATGGAAAAAAAAACATTTAAAATATCAATTTCATGTTGTAAAATATAATTGAATCTAATAAGGGAGTTGTGAAAAGGCACGGGTAGAAATTAGCCAGGTCTGATTATATGTGAAGCAATAATTAGCTAGTTGTAATGAAGAAGATATAGGGCCATTTATCACTTTCTCTCAACCCACATGTGGAGTAAATGTGAGTAAAGTGGCACGATTTTGAAGTTCGTAAGAAGATAAGCTGATCAGGTTAAAGACGACATCAATTCTGAGTTTTATCATTATTAAGCTACATCTCATATGACATCGTAATTGCGCAGTTTTCGAAACGTTCTTTACCAAAATAAGAACCTTTGGATAATTTTTAAATTCATTAGTACCAAAGCAAGATTCTTAAGTTATTTTTTGTCCACAAAAGCATACAGCATACAGCTCTTCAAAATGGAATTCCCGCACCCTGTTCTTCTACAATCATATTAAATAAAAAATGTTTTAGCCGACGGTTTGAGAATTCGACCTTTATTGTTTTTCTCCCGAGTAGATAAAAGATTTTACCCTTTTAGTGATATTATTACTTTTTCAGGCGGACCTGAGGTAGGATTTTCATTTGAAAAGTGGTACAGATATACCTTGAATCAAGATAGCTGGTAAAGCAAATTTTACCAATCATTAGTAGATCATACGATTGAATCAATAAATTGAAACCTTTCAGAAATGAAATGAAATTAATGGAGTTTTACGTCCTACTCTTCTGCACCTTGTGTGCTAATGACGACGGGAAAACCTTTCACAGATCACTGAAAATGTTTAAATATTGCAGAGTTTTAGCGACATAGAATAAGTTTATTGTCAAATAACTTAAGTTATTCGATTTTTTTTTTAAAATGAGCAATTTATTTCAGAGACAATTTTCATTTCGGGTTATCAGTAAAATATATCACATTTTGTTTGCACAAATTTGATACATTTTAGAATAAAAATGCGTACACGCAAAACAATCTCAGTGACTAAAAATCTCGTCGAAAGCATGACAAAATCAGGAGCAATAATAGTATAGCAGTGGACTTCTCCAAAGACCTATAATAGCAGAATTGTGAACTGAAAGTAGTAATATTGAAAGAATAATTATCTAAATTCACTTACCCATCATTGCCGAATGGTAATCCAGGTTCGAGACTTGGTCCAGAGTAAAACCGATTCTTGGTCCACTTATACGATTTCTTTCAGGTCAATTGATTTCTTGATTGAACATTGAAATTTTTAAATCTTTAATGATTTCATGCTCCAAGTTATGTGAAGAGGTAAACATGTAAATATAACTTTAGTTTGACTTTTGCTGTATATTTTACATACTCCATCCCCTTGACACTATATTCCTCGGTACAAATTGGCCACGTCGTACACCGATTGGCTGGAGAAGCCAAAAACGTCAATCATCGACCAATTAGGCCCCGCCCTGCTACTCAAGAATCAGTGGCATCACGTTTCGCTTACCGAAATTGTATCGAGCGAATCCTGGTATGGATGATGCCGTGATGCTAGATTTATTTGATTTCTACAAACATTTTTAAATATTTATCAGATGTGAGCAGATTCTAGCAGAGCCAATAAAAATCTACTTTCGGTTTCCCTTTGAAATATAACCACACAATGCTGTTTTAAATAAAAAATAGATAAAAATACAGATTTCGCTGTTATCTGAAAATTAATATTATGAGAATCAAGATTTTTCACTTAAAATGTTCTAAAGTGCAGATCAGATACAGCAAAACGCTGTTTAGATAAATTTCTGAAAAAGAACACAGTTAGATTTTGAATCATTAGTTGATAACATGTAAAGATATGACGTTATGTGGTCTCCTTGTGGTATGCCACAATCAAAATCTAAATATTGCTCAAATCAATTATGAAATATTCAACTTTTTGGTCATTTTTTTCTTTTTAAAGCAATGTCAACAAAGTTATTCAATTATGTTTATCACATCAGCTTTTATTAGATTTTTTAGAGTTTTTTGTTCGCCACAGTTGAAAAATATGATTATGGTGTTTTCTCACATCGAAAATAAAGCCAATGTAGCATATTGTAGCATATCTGACTTGCATATGTTTTGGCATTTTGTCCCTGGAAATCTCTGGGTCGTTAAATTGAATGTCTGGTGCCACTGCATGGTGTCTTATTTTATAGGCAGAAATATATTTTAATGTAGATTTCAGGCCTTTATTTCATCATCATTGTAGCGAGGATATTAATGTAAAAATGATTAAGAGTGGTTAAAACGTGTTTAATTTGCCGGAAAATGTTCGTATCTTAAAAACGAGTAGGGTTGAAAATTCATCTTTAAATATGTGACTGGTTTTTCGACGATACGGTCAGTTCCATTACGGAGCACTTGGTTTCGAATGATTTGGGAATCGCGTTAAATTGAAAAAGCGTGTATAAGTTTTCAATATTTTAGTGAATAGTTTGGCTGGTGGAGTAACGCAGAGTTTTATTAGCACCCAAATACCATTTCCTTTGGTAATTATTTGTAACGCCAACTTTGTAAATGTTTTGGGTTGCGAATTTAATGTTCTGCAACTAAACATAACGTTGCTATGACAAGTTAGAAATTTTACCAGATTTTCCTCTCATTCTCATGTCTTATTTCATTTATTATATTCACAAAAACCGGCAATTTATTAGCGTATATATACAAATATTATTAGAAAGAATTCTAGTAATTATTGCCAGCATTTGGTTGATTCATTATATTATGAGTATATGTGAAAATATAGAAAATATTATTATGCGGTGTATGAATACAATAAATACAGTATAAATATTATTATCATTCTTATCATTTCATTCATTTATTGTTTTATTCATTCATCCTTTTATTATCAATAATAATAATATTGGGTTGGCTCAGATTCTATGGTGGTCTTAAAGGCGCTCAATCGGCGTTAACGAAGTGGATTTGGGCTTTGAATATATTAAACAATTCCTGAAACTGGTTGAACCAAGTCCACGGAAAAAATGCAAGAGAGGATATGCTACTATAATAATATTGGTTTGGCTCAGATTCTATGGTGGTCTTAAAGGCACTCAATCGGCATTTTCAGGCCTTGAATTTATGTAGGCCTAATAAACAATTCCTATTTCTGAGATCAACGTACGATTCGTCAGAGGACTATCGAACGAATGGTGAATTCAAGACTTTAACAGCAAAATTCTAGAAAATATAATTATTTGTCACCGGTCTTATAGATACCAACGAGTATAAACTTATACTATCTCAAGCGATTGCATGAATTGAATGAAAAATGATAGACAAGAGAAAGCCTATATTTTACTGTCCTCAGTAATATAAAGTCATAATTCATAATATCTATTAATATGACGTGATACTTTCTCTGACGTCCGCGTTTATTAAATATGAATTAATAAAATCGAAAGGACTAGCCATAAAAAAATTGTGATCTATTTTGTTTTAAATATTTAAATAAACACTGTATTTTTCAATCAGAATCAAGTCTAATACACCCTAATAAAGTAGCATGGTTCGGTCAAACATTCAGCCCTTTACTAGTCTAACTAGTATTACTTGAAGGATTTCAAAAATGAATCATTTTTTCAAGGTAAGGCTGCTCAATTAGAACAATTTACATAATATTTCAGGTTCTGTATTGCTTGGCGTAGAGTTATAATAGTAACCATACGACCTGAAACAAGAATTTAATATCCGAAAAAATTCGAATAAATATTTATGAAATTTGATATTGCCCTCGAAACTTTTCCTTTTTTACATAAAACGATATTCCAATATTCAAATTATTTTTAAAGAAATCTCCAAATAAAATTTATAATTGCCCTCAAAAAATTATTATTTGTAATATTTATCATATTTTACCAATTTTAACCTGTCTGTTTTATAAATCATTGAAACTATAATTCACTTTTCTTGCTTTTTCATCAGCTTCAAAACAGGTGCATTACTCATAAATTATATTTCAAATTTTCTAATTTGCCAACTTCTTTTTAACTCTTCAATTTGGCTTTTAATGTATTCTAAATGATGTCGGGGTTTTGTCGTTGTTTTTCCCTGAAGTATTGGCTGGGTGTTTGGAAGGTAATCAAATAGCCTTGACCTTAACCTCATTAAGATATCCCCCTTATTAACCCCTTTTACTCCTGGGAAACTTCCCTAATTTTAATTAAACTTCAAAACGTTTAACTTTTAATGTGTTTTACATCCAAAGGGTTAAATTATATTTTCCATTAAATAGTTCCCTGATAATTATAAATTCACCTTCAGCAACTCTCTACTCTCTTGTTATTTACAGCAATAAGTGAACTTTGAAATTCGTTGGATTTTGACACACGGGACTTGGTAGTTCAGTGTATCTTTATTTTCGATATTTCTTTTCTCATAATCAGAATAATTTTGATTCAAAAGTTTCACATCATGAGCTTCGTGCGATGTATAGAAAGCACTCAAAACTTTGCAGGAATAATATTTAGCAGCTCCAGTTATAGTCCAAGTTATTCACATTTACAAATTTTTTTTGCAATTTGCATATTAG